TTTTTTTTTTTCCCTTAGCAAAAGGGTTCCTATTTGCAATTGTTTTTAGTGGTGGCAAAATCTGTTTGAAGCCTTTTTCTTGTATGCATTTTCTCGTCCTTAAGAAAGGCATCAGTGGTCTCCAGACATAGAAGCATGATCTTCTCTTTGCTTCTGAAAATGAACAGGTGTGACTCCCCACACACTGAGAAGAAAATATGCTGCACTAATAATTGGTCTCAGTAGGAATCAAACAGCATTCTGTTGTGTTTGCTGCTGTCCAGTATAATTTCATATTTCCCTTCTCAGATAAATTGTATCCTTAAGTGTATTACATAGTTTCAGAAATAATTACAGAGAATAGTATTAAGTGGGAAGGAGACAGTGTACTCTAAATTTAACACATTCTTTTTCCTTTTGCTTGTTTCATTGGATATGACAAAATGCACAACAAAATAGCTTTGTTTCTTATTTTTTTCCTCTAAGAAAAACAGGCACCCATTGCTTACCTACTTACTGTGTGGCCATGACCTCAGGAGCATGTGTGTGGTTGCCTTATTGCTCTGGTATTCAAGTTGTGGGTGATGTTTACCTTCTCTGCCCGTCCTTGAGGAATCCGAATTCCTAGGGAACACTGTGAGGTGGTGGGGAAAGCAGTGCAGAGTCCGAGTTAAAATTTCACCTCTGCCACTGAGGAGCTGTGTGATGACCTGGCCTCAAAGGAACTTAGATATAGCACTCAGTAAATGTCAGTTGAATTTGAATTATTTATTCATTTGACAAAATCGTAATGCATGTGCACCACGTGTTAAGGTTTATTCTGTCTAAAAATAACATCTGATTAGAGATGATGATCATCCCTTTCATTTCTTTCCAACAGTAGTTTGCATGATTCTAGTATATGATCAACCTTTGCTTTAGCATCAGTCCTTAAAGATTCAAGCCTTTCCTTTGCAATAGTCTTCTAGGAGAGTTCCAGCATGGAGGAGGTGAAGGTTGTTGGTACTGTTTTGATGTCAGCTTTCTCAGCAGTGGCGAGAAGCCAGCAGTAACCTTGCCAAACCAGAGTCTTTCTAACAGCATCTGTTGGGAAAAAAGTACATCGCAGTTTCACTGGAATAACTCTGACTTGCTGAATTCGGTCTTTCTGGTTGGCTCTGCAGAGAGATGAGAAATTTATGAGGAGTAGAAGTACATATACACTTTGGTTGGTTCAATGTGTGATAACATTCATCACTAACGCTGGCATAAACTTTGAATGGCTTAGAATAAAGGGCAGCATCGTAAACTGTGCTCTGCGATGGGGAGTGGGAATGAAGTTGCCTCCTTGCAAGATCTGGTAAGGTGGCAGATGGGAGGCGGCAAGACGGCTGCGTTGCCAGAGCCTCCTGCTCTTTTCCTTGTGGAGTCTTCACCCTTAATGGGCATTTTATTCTCTTTTTATTGAAGCTGAGGCAGAAGTGTCTCCCACGATTTTGTCCTCCCATGTAAAACTTTCTGAAAGGCCATGAGTTACAGAGATGGAATGTCATGCCAAAGTCTGGGCTCCCAGATTGAATGAGTGCAGGTTGAAACATACATGTGCTATTTGAGGAAGCTGATTTTATCTGCTTTCTGGAGCCTGAGTGTTTCAAATGTTGGGCAATGGTCTTACGCTGCCATAGCAGGTCAGGCTCTGTAAACACACTCAGTACTGTTTCTTTATAGAGTTTAAGAAGTTCTTAGATTTAGAGCGACACAGAAAAAGGATGTTTCTGTGAATAGCAGCAAAGAGTTCCTTTAGGATGCCTGAAAGGATTGATGTCTTTTCCCAGAGGGCCAAAAAGATTTCCACAAACTAATCATCATCGAACACCTACTGCATGCTCAGCAGTCTTTTGAAGTTGTAGAGGAAGTATATGATGTCTTCTTGGTCCCTAAAGAACTTATGATAATAATAGTCTATTATTAATACTAAGTACTTACTAAATGCCAGGCACTCTACTACTGGCCTTATATACAGATTGTTTCATGTAATTCTTGCAACAACCTATGAGATATGTATTATTGTGCCCATTTTACAGATAACGAAGCTGAGATTTAGAGTTTAGTAACTTGCTAAGTATCTGGGCCAGGATTTTACTCCAAATCGAACACCTACTGCATGCTCAGCAGTCTTTTGAAGTTGTAGAGGAAGTATATGATGTCTTCTTGGTCCCTAAAGAACTTATGATAATAATAGTCTATTATTAATACTAAGTACTTACTAAATGCCAGGCACTCTACTACTGGCCTTATATACATATTGTTTCATGTAATTCTTGCAACAACCTATGAGATATGTATTATTGTGCCCATTTTACAGATAACGAAACTGAGATTTAGAGTTTAGTAACTTGCTAAGTATCTGGGCCAGGATTTTACTCCAAATCTGTCTGACTCTAAAGCCCACTGCACGTCCCTGGGGTGCAGTTGGAGAAGCAAGATGGACTCACGTGAAAATGCATACTCATCGCCAAAGTAGGTGGTGTCTGACGGTGGATACAAGGCTGTGAGGGATAGCTAATGTGTGGGATGTCAGAATCAAGATTCTATAGGATCTTGGCAGACTGTATAAAAGTAATAAAATGAAATATAATGGAGATAAATGCCAAATCTCCCATTTAAGTGAATATCAGCCATTTAAGTCTCGAGGAGAGGAAAATGGTTTAATAGCACTCTATGAGGGGAAAAAAGGACTCAGGAATTTTAGTTATCTGCAAGTTCAAGGTGGATCTGCAGTAGAACAGTGGCTGTCATAAATGCTAATGCAGTCTGATGCTATATTCATAAAGATATGGAATCTACAGAGGAATAAGTGAAGACAACAAGGTGATCAGAAAGCTGTAAGTTTGGCCACATGAGAATAATTGAATCCAGTTGGTTAGAGTGTGGTGTTGTAACATCAAGCTCAAGGGGTTTGATCCCCATACCAGCCAGCTGCCAAAAAATAAAAATTGAATGAATTAGGGGTTTTGGGTCTTCAAGTATTTGATTCACGTGGCAGAAGTGTTAGACTCATTCTACCAAAATCCCTAGGCTCCAACCAATGCATGGAAATGTGTACAGGGAGAGCTGGACTCCATAGAAACTGTCAGAACTGTTCCAGAATGACTCAGGCTGCCTTGCGAGGTAATGAAATGTTGAAGCGAAGGCTGAGTGATGTCACAGGATGAATTCTGTGGCTGCAGGTGCTCTAGGGGTTCAGAGCAGAGGAGAGTCAGGAGGCATTAGAGATGGTTCTTTGAGAAACTGGAATATGATAGGGTTTAGATGTTTGGTGAGGGAAGAGCTCTTTAGGTGAGAAAAAGTAACCAACATATGGGAAGATAAAGAAAAAGAGAGGGACATTTTTAAAAACTTGCTTAATTATTGAATAGGAAGGGTATGTGGCTTGAGTATGCCTTATAGTGCTAATTAGGCAGGAGCGATAAGATTGAATAAAAGGAATCTAGGGTAGCACATAACCCCACAACACTTATATTACTGGAGGCAAGAGAACGTTTTTTTTTTTTTTAAGATGACCTGTAAGGGGATCTTAATCCTTGACTTGGTGTTGTCAGCACCACACTCTCCCAAGTGAGCGAACCGGCCATCCCTATATAGGGATCCGAACCCTTGGCCTTGGTGTCGTCAGCACCACACGCTCCCAAATGAGCCACGGGCCAGCCCATAAGAGAACTTTTTAAGGTGCCATTTATTTTCTGCCAGTATATTTGATAAGATAGCATTAACCTAATACATGACCCAAACCTCATCTTATTTGCAGGAGACTGACTTCAGCATGATGAAATAAATAGGCATCTCTTTCATTCTTACTTAAAAACCTCCGCCTGTCTGAAGTGTTTCAAAGGAGAGCTGTTAGCCATTGAACTGTACCAAGCACATGTTGTACTGCCTGCTTAGTTTTAAAAGTGATGTGGTTGGAGATAGGTCAAATCATTATCCCCCTATGTCATCACCACCCTGAAGAGGCAGGAGGGACCCCACCCCAGGTTTAGTTCAGATGTAGAGACTCATACACACCCCCACGAGGCTATGAAAAGGTTTGTTGCTTACATATTTGAAGTCTCTGGGGAGACAGGGCAGACCTCTCCAGCAGCTGTGAAATGGCTTGGAGAGCTAGGAAAGCAGACTGGGTTTTATTGAGTTCAAGGAGTGGGGTCAGGATGCAGGTGGTCAGGGCCTTGCTGGTTGTGAATCTCCCATGGGTGCCAAATTGGGGAGCACCTGGGTTTTCTTATCAGCCTGCCCAGATGTGGGGCAGAAGCAGCAGAGGGAAGGCCAAGGCTTTGAGCAGTCAGACATCAAAATGAAGTCAGACTCCTCCTTATGGTGTATAGATAAAGATCTTTTCCCCAGGGCTTTGAAGGGAGCTGGTGTGAAGAGTACATCCCACCCAAACCTTGTACTTTGTGTGTGCGTGTGCACCAGCTAACTAAAAGCACGTGTCGGCTCACGTCATGCCGTGAACTCTTGTCCAGGCCTCGTTGCCAGTGCATAACCAGGTGCTGCCTTCAATTGAGAGTGTGGATGGTTCCGACCCTTTGGCAACTCTGCAGACGCCTATAGGTAGACTGGAGGCAAAAGAGGAAGAGGAGGAGGAGGAGGAGGAGGAGGATACAGAGGAGGATGAGGAGGAGGACGGTGAAGACACAGATCTGGATGATTGGGAGCCAGACCCACCCCGACCCTTCGACCCACACGACTTATGTAAGTGGGGCCCCGGACTCTGCAGAGGAAGCGCTGTGCCCTTTCTTGTGAGTGCATGTGTGTGTGAGACCATGGTTCACAGGCTCCGAGTCCTTGCGTGTCCCAGACACAGCTCTGCGTGACCTGTGAGGGAGGGGCTGACACTGCTGTTGGCTTCCGATTTTCCTGAGGAAGATGCTGAAGCTCAGAAGAGGCTGGGCAGCCTGCGCAGGGTCCCACACGGATGAGTGGGGGACCAGGTGTCTGAGCCTAGGCCTCTCTGGTACCAGAGCTTCAGCTACCAAACTATGGAAGTTTGCCCAACCTAGACGATCCAGCCTTTTCAACTTTAACAAGTTTGCTTTGCCATGTTACTTCTTTCCTAACAACCTTTTAAAATGCTTCCTAGATCCCAGGCGCGGGTGCCCTACACTCTTAACTCATTTAGCACTCTGCACAGTCTCCTATGGTCATGTGATGCACTGAGAGGTGGTCTGGCTCCAGGGCTGTGCCTTTGGGTGGCCACAGCATTGGACTGCCTCTCTGGACTGCCTGCCCAGGGGTTCTGCCTCCACCTCCCAATCATTGTTTCTTTCCATTGATTTTCATGCTCACATGGCAAACTTTTTACCTATTTATTTGAGTTACTGAGGCTATTCAGAACTTCATGGTCTCACCCCATTTCTCCTGGACCTTCCATGTGGTGCTGGTAAAACCCATCCACTTGGGGCCAGTGTTCAGCTCTGCGTCTAATCGTGATCCAACAAAGAACTTCCTCATTTTATTTTTCCTTGAATTCATAAGTTTTCAAGGCAACCCCTAAGTCAAGTGCGCAGAAAGTCACTTAGTCTTATAAATATTAACACAGAGTAACTCTCCATTATTTGAGAAATGTAGGGATTGAAAACATGTATTTCCTAAATCAGGTCACCACATAGCCGGAGTGGGGTAAAACATGATTGGTTAATTAAATATGTTAAGGGGTCTTGGGTGTGACCCCTATGCGGTCCAGCCACTTGCCTCTGTTTGTGACTGTACGTATCTAGCTCTGGCAGTTAGTGTGCAGATGGGCACTCCTAGAAAGCAGAGATTGTAGCTGGCTTGATATACACTGAGTCCTCCTTGAGTGAGCTGGAAATGAGAGTCCTGTCAGAGCTGGGTTGATCGTGTCATCCAAGTGAGCGAAGGATGGGAGGTCAAATTCATTTGTTTTAGCATTATTGTTGCAGATGGGCACTCCTAGAAAGCAGAGATTGTAGCTGGCTTGATATACACTGAGTCCTCCTCGAGTGAGCTGGAAATGTGAGTCCTGTCAGAGCTGGGTTGATCGTGTCATCCAAGTGAGCGAAGGATGGGAGGTCAAATTCATTTGTTTTAGCATTATTGTCAGACAGTGTGCATTGAAATCTCAAACTGTCCCACAAATTTTCTGTTTGGGTTAGGCATGCCCAGGTAATGAGGCTTCTACACTCCCTTCGAGGAACTGAGTTAAGGGTATTGTCAGGGTTTTTTTGTTTGTTCTTCCTAACAGGTTTACTGAGATATAATTTACATACTATAAAATTCACCTATTTGGTGTCATCAGATTCTGCAATATTTAGCCTAAAAAACTTTTTTCTTCTTTTCAGACATGCTGTAATTGATTTGTAAATTTAGTGGCCACTATTTGAATTACTGTCCAGCAGAGAAAAAAGTCACAGCCTACATATTAGTTTTGGCAGGCATAAGCAAATTCTGCCTGATTTTACAGGAAAATTACAGGATTTTTATGGGTCTGTGAAAGCTAATGTATTACAACTGAAGAGATAGTGCCATTGGAGAAGATAATTTAATTTTGGCTTGACAACTTAGATTTGGGGACTTTTCAGGTCAGAACTTTTTACCTGAGACCAAATCATGTGGAGGAATTTTTTTTGAAGACCTTCTTTCTTTTGCAGGGTGCGAGGAGTGTAATAACGCACATTCTTCCGTGTGCCCAAAGCATGGCCCCTTGCATCCGATCCCCAACCGGCCCGTGCTCACTCGAGCGAGAGCGAGTCTGCCCCTGGTGCTGTACATAGACAGGTTCCTTGGAGGAGTGTTCTCCAAACGGCGCATTCCCAAGCGCACCCAGTTTGGCCCTGTGGAGGGACCCCTCGTCAGGGGGTCTGAACTGAAGGACTGTTATATTCATCTAAAGGTAATTTATGCTATATCATAGTTCACACCTGTTCTTCAACAGTTCAAGGGGTACTCATCTTTCTCATGAGTCTCTTATTTCAATTTCATAGCAGTCATTTGCTAGTATTTTTCTTTCTAGGTTTAATTTATCCTAAATGGAAACTTTCTCTCTCTCATTGATAAAATGGAGACTGCAGTTCTGAGTGGGGTAGGTAGTTGTTAGGGGCTGTAGTAGTCTGCTTGGGCTGCCATAATAAAATAGGACAGTCTGGGAGGTTTAAACAACAGAAATTTATTCTCTCACAGTTCTGGCGGCTGGAAGTCCAAGATCAGATCTGGTTTCTTCTGAGGCCTCTCTCCTTGGCTTGCAGATGGCCACATTCTTGCAGGAAAGACTTCACACGATGTTTCTTCTGTGCTTGTGTGTGTATGTGTGCTAACCTCCTCTTCTTATAAGGACCAGTCACACTGGATTAGGACCCGCCCTAATGACCTCATTTTAACTTAATTACCTCTTTAAAAGCCTTATCTCCAGATCTAGTCACATTCTAAGGTACTGGGGGTTTGGGCTTCAGCAAGAATTTTGAGGGGGACACAGTTCAGCCCATAAGAGGGGCTTTGAAAGCCTTTCTCTCTTTCAGTAACTTTGAGTGTAATACAAGGAGAATTATGTGGTTTTAGGTAATCTGCTATGTGCCAGTAATGTTTGCATGAAAACCACTTTTCAGTTTTGAAACAGGTCTGTCCTGTCCAAGCTTTCATTACAGAATAGTTCACTGTATATTGAGGTATATTTATATTGATCTGTGTTCTTTACATTTGATGTTTTTGTTTCTCCCTAACTCTCTGCTGTCTGCTTTTTGGATAGCAACTCTGAGAACTAAGAAAGGGCAGTAGAAAGGGGTGAATATTTGGGATGTGTTTTTTGAAAAATCAGCCGCTGTCATGGGGAGGTTTTCTTTGGCCTATGCTCAAAATCTGCAAGCAAGAATATACTTTGTAAAGAGAAATATCTGTCTCTGGGCTGCATATTATAAATGAACGCAGTTGAATCCCCAAAAGAGGCAAGTTGTAATGAATTGGAGAGTATTGTGCTTGCATTTTCTGGCTTATTTATAGCATTTTTTGTTGTGTTAGTTTTGTGAAATATTAACCAAAGCCATGCAATTAGATTGTTAACTTTTATATTTTACCAGGTAATTCTTCTATAGGTGAGGCTTCAGAAAGTATCCTTTTCCTTTCATTTTTGGAAAGTTTCAATTCCAATATCTTTCTCGATACAAAAGGAAGAATCAGGATGTACGGTTAATTTAAGGAGCAGTGTTTTGTATATTATGACATTAATGCATATCATATTGAAGGTTTTGTTTGTCTTTTTGGTATGGCTTTTTACTGTCTCTTTGATTGCAGGTTTCTCTTGATAAAGGGGACAGAAAAGACAGAGATTTGCATGAAGACCTGTGGTTTGAGTTGTCTGATGAGACCCTTTGTAACTGGATGATGTTTGTGCGTCCAGCCCAGAACCACCTGGAGCAGAACCTAGTGGCTTACCAGTATGGCCACCATGTGTATTACACAACAATAAAGAATGTGGAGCCCAAGCAGGAACTGAAGGTACAGTGCTGCACTGCAGTGCCGCTTGCTAGCAACAGTGATTGTTTAGGTCATTTTCTAATTCTTTTTTTCTTAAAGTGGGATTCTTACAAAAATGGTCCTTTCCTGGCAATTTACTTATTGAGTGGCTCCTATGTTCTGTGTACCTCTAATAATCCTGTAAATAAAGCAGAATGAAAAGTATATGGCTTTTGTGCTTGTCAAAGGCCCATATGAAGGCTTTAGGCTCAGGGGTAAGAAGTAGTGGTTTGGGCTGCAGACTGGTGTTTGTGATGGAGGGATTAAAGATGGTGTCACTTAACATCATTTACACACTGTAACGAAGAATTGGTTGGGAAACAGGTGATTTTTTAAAATGGAATTCTGATGTCTGGGCAGGATTTCTTTTTTTTTTTTTAAAAAAAGATGACCGGTAAGGGGATCTTAACCCTTGACTTGGTGTTGTCAGCACCACGCTCACCCAGTGAGCAAACCGGCCATCCCTATATGGGATCCGAACCCGTGGCCCTGGCGCTATCAGCACCACACTCTCCTGAGTGAGCCACGGGCCGGCCCATGGGCAGGATTTCTTTATCTGCATGCTTCATTTTACTCTGAGAATTTTATGTGCTGACTTCTGATTTCCGAAACATATTTTTTTGGGGATAACTCTGTGTTGAAATTTATCTAAATATTTACTCTCGATGACATGATAAAAATTCTGCTGTGATCTTAAGAGAAAATTCTTTTTAGTAAAGCTTATGTTAGGGACATGGCTGAAAGAAGCGGTCAAAATACTCTTTAGCTTTCTGATATAAACAAAAAAATAGGTGAGAAGTGGTTGTATCAGCCCACGAACACTAAATTGCACAGCGCCTCACTGTGGTAAAAGTTAGAAATTGATACCTCTTTAGTAAGAGAGCAAAGTCCTGGATTTTGTTCAAAACCTCTGTCTTTGAAACCATCAGCTAGATAATCCATGTGTAAAATATGTAAAAAGAGATTCATATCTTACACCATCTATCCCAATAAATCCTTGGTAAGAAAAAAACTGAAATGAATACTTCTTAACTGTGCAGGGGAGATTATTTTCTTTTAAACCAATAGATAGAACTATGGCTGTAAAGACAGACAGAAACAAATAAGAATATAATAGTTCAGTATAATGAACAATCAAAACAACAGATAAAAAGGAAGCAACAGAATGGGGCAAATATTTTTTTTTTTTTTTTTTTTTTGAGATGACCGGTAAGGGGATCTCAAGCCTTGGCTTGGTGTTAGCACCACGCTCAGCCAGTGAGCCAACCGGCCATCCCTATATAGGATCCGAACCCGTGGCCTTGGCGTTATCAGTACCGCACTCTCCCGAGTGAGCCACGGGCCGGCCCTGGGGCAAATATTTTTAATACACATTAACAGCTTTAAGTATGAAAACTGAGAGCAAGTCGTACGCCTCCAGCCTCATGCACTCCGATAGACAAATGAACACATTCCAGGAATCGACTTTATTTAGAGGAGGAAGCAAATGGTGAAGAAACGTGTAAAGTTTTTCTCAACATTAATAATTTAAAAACCCTTAAAACAACTATGAATTACTATTTTTGTTAATTTAAATTAGCAGAAATAAATAGTACAGTGAATGTGAGGGTTTAAAAAAAAAATAGGGATACTGATTGCAGAATTGCATTTTTTAACAAAGTGATCCTGAAAGTACTGTTGACCCTTGAACAGCACGGGTTTGAGTTGCATGGATCCACTTATACATGGGTTTTTTCATTAAATATATGCACAGTACTATAAACATATTTTCTCTTTCTTCTGATTTTCCTAATAACAGTTTCTTGCCTCTTAGCTTACTTTATTGTAAGAATACAGCATATAATACATATAACAAACCAAACATGTGTTAATTGTTAATGTTATGGAAAGGCTATTTTTGGGGAGTTAACAGTTACACATGGATTTTTCAACTGCACGAGGGCTTGGCACCCCAATCCCTGAGTTGTTCCAGGGTCAACTGTATGTAGAAAAAATATTCTTGGCTGAGTAAACCAAATCCTTGAAAGTTAGTCTAAGGAAATAATTACAAACAAAGATAAAACTAGAAACATTAGAATTTGATAATACTATACTTCACTGAGTCTAATATATCAATGACTTTAAGGTACACCATTATTTAATGCACCACTAATAAAAAGAAATGCTGCCAATTAAACTATATTATTATGCTTTTTTTCTTTTACATCAGCAAAACTGGTTATTTTATACTTACTGAAGGAGCTATTTTAGACTTACTTAGACATAATTTTGAAATTACGTCACACTTGTGCATATACAAAAAGGCACACTTAGGCAAAATAAATTAGTTAAGGTATAAACTTCTTTGCATGCAGTCTTTTTCTTTTTCCCTGAATCACTGTTTTTCTTTGTCATTGATGTTTGTGCTTTTCTGTATGTTATCATATTCTGTGTCATCAGAGTGTTGATGCTGCTGCAGTATTTTAAAAATAATTGCCTCCAGGATGTTTTCCTAAGCCACTGATAGCCTTTCGGCAAGTTTTGATAATGTGCTTTCCCATTTGACTGAACTCCCCTGTCTTTTTCCTCAATTAAATTATGTATCCTTGTAAGTTAAGTGGTTTTTGATCAAGGCACTAGGAAATTTCTGATGTCTGATGCCTTAATGAGAGGCCCTGAAGGATGCCTTATATTGCTTTGAAATTTCTTTTGTTTATTCTGAGGGAAATGGCAATTTTGAGGGGACCTTTACCTCCATGGCTTGGCAAGGGTTAACAACTCATGGAGTGCTGATGGGGTTCTTAAGGGCATGAGGTAAGAACAGTAGGAAGAGCTTGTCCAGGTTTGTGCAAGAGCAATGAGCTGGTAGCAAGAGCTGCATCATGGCAGCAACTGTAGAATGCCATAGAATGTGAGACACATTCTGATTTTTGAGCCGTTAAAATATGAACAGATATACATGTTGAAATTGATGGATTAGGGTAGAATTTGGAACAGCAAAATTATAAGCCTCCTAAAAGTCCAACCACAGGGGCATAGTTAAGTAAATTATAGAATACAGATTCTATAGACTCTTATTCCACAGTTAAAAATGAAGTCTTCCTATATAAATATTTCCATGTGTTTAAAATAATGTTCCATAAAAATTATATATGATTAATTCATTTAGTGATTAATATATTGAACTCCTGCTATATTTCAGATACTAGGAAAAGACAGGCTGGTTCCTTGTGTTCAGGGAACTTGTATTCTAGAGGGGAAGTGGACAGAAAGGTATAAACAAGCAAAAAATATCAAATAGGGGTAAGCGCCGTGAAGGAGACAGATGGTGCAAAAAGGGCAAATAATGGGAAAGTGACCAATTTAGATACGATGGACAGGAAAGGCCTTGCTGAAGAGGTGATGGTTGGGCCGAGAACTCTGGAATGAGGAGCCGGCACTGCCGAGGGTGAGGGCAGGGGTGGAGGGGAGGAGCCCGACACCATGGGGTGTGGGTGGGGTGAACCAGCTCGGCAGCAGGGTAGGCAAAGGCTTGGGGTGGGAAAGCACTTGCACGTTTGAGGAGCCGAAGGCAGGCCTCTCGGCTGTAGGATCAGGGAGCATGATGGGGGCTAAGGTTGCTTAGCCAGGTGGGGGAGATCATGGAGCCCTTTGGGGAGGATCAACCTAGAGTATTTCAGGATTAGTCTGAAATGAGATGCCATTGCTGGCACAACAAAATCTGATTGTGTGTTTTTTTTTTTTTGTCTTTTTCCGTGTCCGGCAACGGATCGCAACCCCCAGTGTCGCCCCCGTACCGGACCGGGACCGGCAATGGGATCGCAGCCCTCGGTGTTGCTCCCGTGCCTCGCTCAGCCAGTGAGCGGGAACCGGTCTGTATGTGGGATCCGAACCCTCGGCGGGAGCGCCGCCACGCTTCCCAAGCGGCACACTATAGCAGTGCGCCACCAGGCCGGCCCAGAACACTTCTCATTTAGATGAGCTCTTCTCTGCTGTTCTTTTATTTTTGGCCC